CTCTCTCTCTCTCTCTCTCTCTCTCTCTGTCTCACTGTGCTGTGATGGCTCTGGTGGCCAGCTCCACGTTGCAGGCTGTGACGCCCTGCTCATCCTGCCGTAAGGGGCTCATGAGCCGAGCTGATGGCAGCCTTTCCTTCCTGTTGTACATGTAGTGCTCATCGGCATGGCAAATAAACCATTTATACTCCTTCTCTGTCAAATCATACTGGAAGGAGCTAAATGACATGACCACTAGTTACAGCAGAGATTGAAGACAGCAGATCTACAGTCCTGCTTGGTGGCAGTGTTCATTGGAGAGGCAGTCTGGCCAGGTTTCCTCATTCTGTCCCTACTGTCTACAAAGTGTTTCTGGAAACCAGCCACTTGGGTGAACAGAATATTTTTGGCAGCACACGCGGCCTAGTGTAGTCATGAAGAAGTCAGGATTTGGAATGATGTCACCTGGCCTCCATCCAACCCTTCCCAAGGTGGCCTTGGGCTGGTACTTACCATCTCAGCATCAGCTGTGATCTACAGAGTACACTGACACAGTGCTGCCTTCAAGGTATTCTGAGGATTCAATGCGTGTTTAAATAAACTTAAAAGCGTAAACAAAGATTAAAATGTATAATTGATATCGTGTAATAGGAAGAAAAGTCTAAAAGAGTAGAGGAAGCGGGAGGGGTAGGGAAAGGGAAACAGGGAAAAAATATGTGAAAAGGAAAAACATGGAAACAATGTCTTTGTAAACAGGGAAGGGTGGAGGGGCTGAGGGGAGGGCTGGGGAATGGGGAAAAATAAGAACCTGATAAGTCACGTAAGGGACAAGATCCCAGAGATGAATGTAACTGTATTATATACCTAATATGTACCAATAAATTTAATAAATATTAAAAATAAGTAAATAAATACATAGATTTAGGCCCAGGGTTAGGCACATAGTGAAAACTTCTGAATATGAATGACGGTGGTTGCTGTTTCACCTTGTTGGCTCCATTTTGTACAAGGTCATGGAGGAACCCGGTTCTCAACTTTGCATGTACTGGCTGCCCAGTAACCAGGGCTGTGTCCTATCACCTTTCTGTAGGGCCTGAGGCCAATGGGAGGCTCATTTATAACGTGTTGCAGGTATGCCCAAGAGAGACTGAAGTCTTCTTCTCTTATATAAGTAGTATGAAGTCTTGTGTGGCCTCACTTTGCTCAGAAAGGCATGAAGTATTGCTAGGGTTTTGAGGACCATGGGGGTCACTCCAGGACAGGTAGGAGTGACCAGGTCACAGCAGTGGTCTCTGCCTCCTCCCTACCCTAACACTTTCCACCCACAGTGTCCTCCAGTGGATGCACTCAGTGCTGGAAAAATTCTGTGATCCAGCAGCTGGAGCTCACCCACTGCTCTTCCCTAATAATATGAGTTATCAGGCAAATAATCAAGTGGCCAATGATAGAGCCATCATCAATCCACTGTAAACTAATGTAGTCATTTATTTTAACTATCAGTAGCATTGTTACGTGATGACCCAACCACACTTCTTTAGAAAACTTCCTGAATTCTTCAAAGTCACACTGTCTCTCACTGCTTCCTGTCCACTTTCTCGCCACGACCTTTCCTTGTATGAAATGCTCCATTCTGCTGGTCTCCTTGACACCAGGAGCACTTTGGTTCTCCCCACTCAGCCAGAACTTGTCTTTTAAAGGCTGACAGGTACCTCAAATCATCTCTCGATCATTCTTTCTTCTCTCTGCCCTCCAGCCACACTCTGTGTGCCGACCGTCCCCCCCGAGCATCTTTCCTGTGGTCTCCTTGACACCAGGAGCTGTCCTGGCCTCGACTTTGTCCTCTGTCCTCTAGAAACTGACCCCAATGATGTGACCCTCCTCCCTCTCCCAGCCCCAATCTGAAAATTTCTCAAGGGTCTCTCCTGGGGTCCTCTTATTTCCTCTCCTACTCACCTTTTTTGGTGTACTGTCCATTGCCAGTACTTTAGCCACGACTTTTATGATATAACTTCACATACTTATCTCTGGCTCGTCTCTTCTCCAGCCTTGATTCCCATGCTGTTGAGTCATCTGGAAGCTCATCTGTTGTCTTGCCACTAAAACCAACTCCTTATCATGATTTTCATCAGTGGATATTACATTTCTCTTAGCCTTAAAACCTAGAGAGTTAATTCTGACTCTTCTCTTTCCTCTATCTTTTATTTTTGAAATCACCCTTCCATTCTTACAAGTGGCTCCACGCAGCCTGCACCTGTGGACTGCACCTGTGACTGACTGCCTGTGCATCCCATCTCTACTCCTGCCACGGGGCCACTGTCCACAGACACCATGGAGAGCACTGTAATCTTCGCGTCTGGGGAAAGCAAAGGAGGTGGCAAGCGTCGTTACCGGGCAGAGCAGCGAGGCCGCTGGAAGGGATGAGAGCGCTGGCTTCTCACAGAGTGGGTGTCGGACTGGCAGGCACAGTGGGCAGTGTGCAGGCCCTGGTGCAATCAGGCACTCACGGGGGCCAGGGCAGGAGCAGAGCAGAAGTCGGGTGCTCAGGGCAGCTGCTGATGGCCTTGGCTAAGCTGTGTGACCTGGACAGCGCTGAGCTCTCCCTCAGGCTCTCCACAGTGGGCACAGCTCAGGGGCAGCCGTCTCTGTGCCCCAGGGCTGACTGGGTGGGAGGCGCTTGCTCCTCCCTCACTAACCTCAGGGCCCAGCAGGTCTGACTGGGCTCCTCTCTCGCATCTTGGGTTCTGTTTCCACCACAGGCCTCTTCAAACCCCGGGACCCCAGAAGCTGCAGAGCTAGAGGCTCAGGCGTGGAGGCCAGGCCAGCCTTCCCGTCCCCTGAGCAATTCAATGGCCAGTGTGGCTTTTCTTGGTCTCACCTGTGCAGAACCCCTTCCGATCCTGCAAGGGACAGTGCAGGGCTCTCAGTAGCAGGTGGCCTATGGCACACATGGCCTGGACTCTTTCTAGGAACTGGGTTCAGGGATCCGGGCCAGAACTTACAGGTTAACCTCAGGGCAGCGTCCCCCAGGGCCTGTGGGCCTGGGTAAAATTCTCCTCCTCGAGAAAGCGGATGGAATGAACATGTGACTGGTGGCTTTTTGTTTTAAATCAAGAGTGCCCAGGACTCTGTTCCTTCCAGAATGATAGACTCATGGCTGCCTTGGCGGAGGAAGCAACACCACCTCTTCTCGAGTTTTTTGTTCAGAAATGTTGCTGCTTGCTTGCATTGTGTTGCTGTTCCTAAAAATAAATTGGGAAAGTCAGAGGAGACTTCGGGGAGGGTGGAAGCCTGCTCTTTATCCTGGGGCTTTCCCCATGGCAGAGCATCTGTGACCACGTGTTTTACGTGGCCACTTCATTTCTGCACAAAGTGGCGCTCGGCTCTGGTGCCTTGCGGTGATCTGCAGGGCCAGTGCCTGTGGAAAGGGCGCAGGAACAGTCACACTACCTGAACGGTGTCAGACCACCACGCTGCAGAACTGGCTTCAGGCATCAGAGTGCAAAGAACACAGGAAGCTTCGGGGGGCAGAAGAGAGCAGACGACCAGTGCTCTCCAGAGCACTGTCTCCAGAGTACGGGTACTCTCCAGAGCGAGCTGAGGCCCAGAGCGTCTGCACAGACTGGAGAGGCTGGCCTGGGTCTTCAGTGGGGCGTGGCTCTCTTGCCCAAGTGTTTCCGGCCCAGTACCGTGATCACTGCAGAGCAGGGTCTCCCTGTGTGGGTACGGGGCTCTGCAGGGCTCCTTGGACTAGTTGTGCTGCTTCTGAGTTGTGTGGCTGAGAGAACCCTGAGCCACAGTAAGCTTCGGTTCCTACCTCTGTAAGAGCCTCAGTCATAATGAACCCACCTTCCAGGCAGAATCGCTGGGATAGGTTTAAAGCGATGATACTCGCTGCCCTTCCCTTAGTATGGTTGTGGCAGACCCATGGCTCTGTCGACACGTGAGCCAAGCGACACATGACAGTGGTCTTTCTAGACCAAGACCTCAGTATTCAGGATTAATTGCATTGTTGGCATTTTGTGATAAATAAGTGGGTTTGGGGTTGCAGTTTGGACACTCGATTCTCCATCAGTAACCTAATGGCTCCTAGGAATAACCACTCTATCTTACCGGGAGTTGTTTTAATGGACTCCCTGCTTCTTTCTCAGGGAGATGCTCATCTCTGTGGCCCTGGGCCAGGTACTGTCCCTCCTCATCTGTGGAATTGGCTTAACCAGCAAGTACCTGTCAGAAGACTTCCACGCCAACACACCCGTCTTCCAGAGCTTCCTCAACTACATCCTTCTCTTCTTGGTCTACACCACTACTCTGGCAGTCCGGCAAGGTAAGCTCCTGTGAACACTGAGCGTTAGGCTTCTACAAACTCTGAGGAGAATGTGACCTGTGGTTTAATGACCTTTATTATTACAGTGTCAGCAAGAGCATTCCAAACCACAGACCTCACTTTTCTATTTTTCAGAAATATCACAAACACAACGAATGACTAAACCACAAAGCATAAATTGTATGAATTCAGCAGGAAGTGCAGATGCGTGTGTAGGTGGAAGTGTATAATCCATCGCTCATCTGCATTCCTGTCACCACGCGGCCGTCTCTCCGAGACTCCAAATCGAGACTTCCTCGGAGCCTGGTGTAGCCATAGGCAGCTCCACCCAGATATCCAAGGGGATTGCAGACAACACAAGTCCTTTGGGAAAGTGACAGGAAAGATAAAAACAGTGAACACAGCTCTAATATCAAGGAAAGAAAAAATAAGCTACCACAAGTGGTCAGGCAAGGTGGTAAATTAGTTTAAACTGAAATAACTAAAGCAATAAAACAAGTCTTCCAAAAGTCAGGGCAAGAAAGTTTGTTTTTTGTTTTAAGAAGCATTGTTGAAAGGAGGCAGTGCTAGAGGGTAGGCTTCAGAGCTCCAGGTAATACCCCAGACTGGAGGAAGCACTTTTATCTATGGCCCAGAAGTAGCCAGCAATTCCTGCCCAAACAGGAGCTGTGGACTATGACAGATGCGTTGGAAAATACTCATCAATAGGTCTGAAGACAATTTCGTAAAATTGTGGTTTGTAAGCATGGTTCATTCCAGAAACTTGCTTGAAACCCAAAGCATTTGTACATCAAAGCAAATTTCCCCATGAGAAGCAATTCAAACTCAGATGATTCATTCCACAACCCAAAATATTTATTTGAAAATGATTGATACCATAATATAACACAGTATAATAAATAAAATACAAAATATAATAAAAATAGACAAATGAACCTGCACTTACCTTTGAAAACCTGTGTGTCTGGTTGAGGAAGACAAGAGGGAGGAGGGCTGTTGTGTGGGACAAACTTCCCTGTCACTAACAGAGTCGCTGCTGTCCATGGTTCAGTGGAATCTTTTCATTTTTGAGCAACTCAACAAGGAGCCTATCCAATGATTCCTGCTTTCGCCTCCTTTTGAGGGTTCCATGGAAATGTGGCATTGCATTGCTGTTGAGCAGACTCATCACTCACAATGCTACAGCCTTATTTAGGTGGAGATTTTCTACAAAATTTTGCACTGTTCCTCACACATCTTCATAATCTCATCTAAAGTGAAGGATTCTTCTGCCCTTTCTCCTCCTCCTCTGCAAATGAGATCTCCATAACCTCTTGCTGTTGTACTAATTATATTGCAGGGCATAACTCATTTATGAAGTTCAAATTTATTAGAAATACTTGCTAATCTTGCAGAACAAGTCATTCACAGTCCAAGGTTTTACTGTACTTCCCTTAGGACACATTATGGCTCCACACAGCAGTTCTGACAGTCATACTTGTTTGAAAATTTATAAGGACTTTTTATTTGTATTTAATTTTTATATTATTAGATTTGTGTCCACAATAATATAGCTCAGTTACAATTATTTGGCAAGTTTTAGATTTCATATTATAGGAGAAATAAAAATGAATAGCTGAGATTGAAATAATTTGGATTTGTTTAAAGTGTTAGAGAAGCCAATTTCATTGACTTCTCAAAAATTGGTGCTATTAGCATTTTTGTTTTGCTTTGTTTTAATTTTGGTCTTTTGAGACAGGGTCTCACTATGTAGCTCAGGCACACCTCAAACTCTCAGTGTCCTTCTGCCTCAGCCTCTCAAGTGCTGGGATTACAGACATGCGCCACCATACCTGGTCTGTTTTTTAAATTTTTTAACATTAGCAGACATAATTACCTTAAGGATACAGTGTCAACTAAAGTCACAGCTGTAGCGACTGGATCTCAGCTGTTTCCGTGGTGCAATTTGGGAGCTAATAATTCCACATGATATAAGTGTGTTGTCCAATGTTTACCCTAGAATTTCTCAAAGGGTACTTCAAATCAGGACTCAGAAAGTAAGGAAATGGGGAAGGCATAGAATTAGAAATAACTTCTGAGAGACTGGGAATTCATGGCTTGGCTCATCAAGAAAAGAGCTCAAAGTTGAATATAAAACTCAATTTTATAAGTGCTTGAATCTGTATGAAAAGAATCAGCCCAGTACAAGGCATATAATTAAGAATAATAAGATTAAATTAAGAATGCTTTTGCAAAATTCTAACGCTGAAAAAAGTTCTCAGGAAAGTGATGAATTTATGTTTTCTGGTGATTTTTATGGTCAGAGTTTGGACTGTGAGGTGGTGGAGTACACCAGGCCCTGGGTTCCAACCATTTCACCTCCAGAAGCTTGGACATTTAACGTGAGCCGGGAAAGCACGATGACGCTTTCTCAACAGCAGAAGGGGTGATCTCAGCAGCTACAGGGGAAGCCAGAAAATACTAGAATACCAAATCTAGAGAAAGACCCAAAGTTAACACCATCTGTTTGCCTTTCTAAGCTGCCAGCCGCTGTGTCTGTGAATTACACCCCAGAAAATAGATATTGCCTCAGAATTTATCAGTGAGAAAGCCAGGCTTTGCTGGCCAGGAACCCCCTGGAGGATGGGGGTCAGAAGGAGGCAGGAGAGGCCAGGGCCCCCGTCCCCTCTCCAGAGGTGCAGAGGATTGCAGAGCCTTTGGGTGGAAGGACTGGTTGTTTCCTGCAGGTTTAACCTTGAACAAGAAACCAGCAAGGGTAGGGTCCAGGAGAGACAGAGGCTCTGGACAGCACAGGGGAGGGTGGCATGGAGGGCTGAGTGCACAGGGAAGAGGCTGGGGCTGGGAGCACAGCACCCAGTGGCCTGGCAGCTCTGACCACCGTGCTGCCTTGGAGATGCTCCCTGTGGCGGAGTCATCAGACTTGCCGGCAGGTCTTTATTTGGTGTTTTCTAAGAAGGTGCGCTTGTTTTAAGCTGCAACCCCCAGGTTCCCATAGGCTGGCATTACACTGGCATCTGGAAGTCAATGTGGTAATTATATTAATGTTGTATGGGCTGACTCAGTGCTAGGGTGCAGTAATCTCCTCCCTCAGCTCCTGAGGAACATCTGGTGCACACGTGAGGGGTCACAGCCCGGCCTGGCGGCTCCCAGAGCCCAGCAGGCTCCGTTTCCCACCTCTCCCCATGCAGACCTCACTGCTTTGCCAGGGCCTCCACGGGAAGCAATGCTGCCTTGGGCCACAGAGCAGCAGCAAGAAGTAGACCCAGGGATATATTTTTGTAGGCAGATCTCAATCATTTTTATCATACAGCTTCTAAAAATGTATGCCACGTGATGAATGCAAAAAGCCTTTCATGAGTGTTGAGGATGATATATAAATCTCACAAAATTTGACTTTGAAATAAACTGAGTTCTCTCGATGAAATTTGTGTTGGACCAGTGACCAGTTCCATATAAAGGAGGGGTGTGGGCATACAGTACCTTTGATTCTTAATTCCTATAAATATTAAGCATTGTCTTCCTGAAACAAGGCAAAACTATATCCTGTCAAACTTTAAAGCTAGTCTTCCCATGCTTAGAGGCAGGTTTTCTTCCAGAGGTTTCTAACTTCCCAAAAGAGTGCTTGTTTTTCTCCAGAAAGCTGCAGGGCCATGACTGTAGATTTAGTGTCACTGACCTGGGGTCAAGTTTGAGAATTTAGGTAAAATTTAGATTACTGTTTTTCAATAGCTTCCTTGTAACCAGCAGTCACTCAGGAAATGAAAATGTGCCCATTGAAGAAACGCCGGACAATCCAAAACTTCCTGCTGTTTGTCCAAAGCAGGACTTTAGGAATAGGACCAAGAAAGTACAGGGAGGCTTCCAGGAACATGAGCATTTGTCCGTGGAATTGGCTAAAGAAGATTCTTCCTTTTCTCTTTTCTCAAAATCCCATGTAACACTCGTTGAAGTCAGGACACCAAGAGACCCGAAGTGCAAAATCTATGAACCAGGGGAGAACAGCCTGGGCTCAGCCACTGCTTTAGGGATGGAAAAGAAGGAAGCAGGCGATCCCTCACCCCTTCTACCGTTTCCCTACATCTTTGTCTGCCTAATTCGGCGGGGCGAGGACGGTGGAGCAAAAGCAGGATTCTGAAGGTGAAAAACCCACACTTTCAGTCCTTGTTTTCTTCCTCCAGTCCTGGTGGTTGAAAACAATGTGTGCCAGGAATGAGAGTGTGAATGGTCCAAATTGCCTTCCACTTTTCAGGTACAGACACCGGGAAGGAAATGGAAGGTTAGCATCTCAACGCCCCTGAGCATTATTAAGGCACTAACAATGCCCACAGCCCTGCTAACTGGTTAGCTAAGTTTTGCTTTTTCACTGAAAGGCATCTTTATATACTCTTGCAATTCTGAATGAAAAACAATCTGCCAGCTAAAAGCAATTTCATGAGTATTGCATGTACCTTACTTTCCAGAAAATCCTTGAGACATAGAAATTAAACTATGCATCCAGTCAGTCGTGTACTTCTTTGTGTGAGTGTAAGAATGAAATTAAGTCTCTAATAGCATTAATAGAGTACTCATAAAATACTACCATGGCCAGGCCAGGTGGTGCATGCCTGAGTATAATTCTAGCACTCAGGGAGGCTGAGACAAGAGGATTCCAAGTTCAAGTCCAACCCAGGCAACTTAGTGACTTAATGAGAACCTGTTTTAAAAATTTTAACAGTGAAAATTATAAAGTGCTGGGGTGCCTGAAGCCACAATATTGATTATGCCCGAAGCATGCTGTAAGCAGCCTAGGCTGTAAAGAGTTAAAACCTTCAATTTTAATTACTTTAAACAGCAAGTCTAACTAAAGATACATAACTCACAAAAACATCTCATAAACACAGAGATAGCGTGCAGGTTAGCATGACCTCCCCACCACTGGCCACGACCCAGACCGCAGTCATGGCCTGTGAAGCTGTGAGACTAATATACGATAACAGGCATAGCAAAGATCACAGTAATTC